CAGGTGTACATCCCCACAGGATTTGGGAGAAGAGCCTGACGGCAAAGCCGGCGATTTCCAACCCGGGAGGGTTCTTCAAAAGTTCAAGGATTTCCCGTCCCGACCTTTATCAAAAAGCGAAACTGCGCGGCGGGACGCTCACCCTCTTGTTACAGTCGCCGGCTGCCAGAAACAGTTAAAAAAAAAAAAAAAAGGGATTTTGGGGGGAGGGGGGGGAGCGGAGCGGGAGAGCGGGCGAGAGGCTGCGCCGGTGTCGCCCGGGACGCCGCTGGGTCGAGCCCGGGTGGCGAAGGAGCTCCCCGTCCCGCTCGGCGGGGGCTGGAGCGGTGCCCTCCGGGCCGGGTGACACCGTTCCCGGGGATGCCGGCTGGGCTTTGCTGCGCCTTCATCCTGCCGACGAGAAGCTGCCGGTAGCAGTGGGGCAGGCTCCTCCTTCCGAAGAGCCCGTAAAATGCAGGCGAAGAGCACACGCTCGTGTTTGTGGCGCTGGAGGAAAGTTTGAGCGGGATGGCTTTGCTGGGATTTCGCTGTCTGGGTGCTTGAGTGTCCCTCCCTGGCCGATGGGCTCATTCCTGTCCCTAGTGTCACCGGGGAGAGCCGGGGCTGTGTCATTTTCCTCCAGTTTGTCCCTCGCGGTGGCCCTTCATGTCTGGTAGGGAATGGAGAGAGCGTATGAGCGCGCCAGAGGTTTCCTTTACCACATGTGCAGCGTTATTTGTGTGTATTGTAATTGCCTGCACAGTTTTTCTTTCTGTCTTTGTTTTCTGCGCATCAGAGGTATATTCCTTTAGTGAGGGCATGTGAAACAAAACCCTTGAGAGGTGAGACAGGTGAAAAAATACAGTCTTCATACAGAGTCCTGCCTGGGCACCTGAGAAGATCTGAGGATTAGCTGACGGGGCAAAATGCACCAGAAGACCCTGAGATTCTGTTTCAGGGCACACAAAATGTGTGTTGGGTTTTTGATAACATTTGGAAGTAAAGTATTGTTTTCTAAACAATGCTTATCTGGATGTTTGCAAGAATAGGGGGGAGGGTCTGAAGAGGAAGCCAAACCCTACTGACCTTCATTTTCATTCAAAGAGTTCCTGTATGATCTACAGAATTCCCATTGAATCTAAATATAGCTTTGTTTGGGAGTGCATTGTGGAGCAGTGTCCGAATGCGCAGCGAGGTTTGTATTTTCAGGCCGGATCCAAAGCCCTTTGAAATCAACAGGAGTCCCTCTATTGACTTGCTCGGTTTGGAGCGGGCTCTTATTTCTGCAGTGTAAAAGGTCACGTATCTTATCTCATTGGATTCGGGGCTGCTGGACCTTTTGTTTTCTGGATCGCTGCGAACAGCAGCGAGAAGTTTAATTTCCCCTTGTGAAGTGCATTCGAGACAGGCTGCTTTAGCGAGGAGCGCATAAAACCCCGTTCCCGTTGTTGGGGTGGGCCTCAGCCCTGAAGAATAGTGTCCTATCTGGGAGCGGATCTCTGTCATGGGAAAAGAAAAGCCGCCGGTGGGGGAGAGTCGGGGGGCCTCGGCCAGGTGTTCAGGTGAGGAGACCTGTGAGCAAAGGCCTGTTTGTGTGGTCTCGTTCCTGCGGGTCTCAGGGGACTTCCTTGATAAGCACTCGATGATGGGTAAATTAATCCCCCTTTTCTGCAGGGTTTCAAAGCGTGCCTAGGAACGTAATAAAATAGTAGTCATCACAGTGTCAGAACCTCGACAAACCTGATCACAGAGTCACAGATACCTGGAGTTTACTTATTGAGTAGTGTTATATGTTTATATACAGTAGTGTTATATGTTTAAAGTTAAAAAAAAAAAAATGTTTTCTAACGCTCGTGGGACCTCTAGCCTAACTGCAAGCTCAACCCCCCCTAACCCCGGTGTAGTGAGCAGCTCCTCAGGAAGGAAGATGCAATAAACACTCCTACTTACTGCCTTCGGAGTGTGAAGTAGGTTAGCGGGAGATAACAGCCAGGGGTTCGGCTACTCAGCTGCGGTGAATTGGCCTTGCAGTGGGAATCTGATGCAATACGCTGGCAGGTTGAGCACTCTGTAATGTTTG